GAAAGAAATATTGATAAAGATTTTATACAATTCATATCTAATGATAAATAATGTATTTTGTTCTAATTATAGCCAAAACGGTGGTGTTAATTCTAATGATCGAAAAAGATTATTAGATGATTCAAAGGAATATGGTTTTAATTTATCTTTAAAAAGTCTAATTGTTTTGATGGGATAGAAGAAGTATCTAGATCCTTAACTTTAATTGATTTACCTAACAATTCACATGGTTTTAATCAGAAAAGACAACAACCTTGTGCTACTAATAGTAATAATCAATCTTTAAATAATTTAAATAATAGAAAGAAATTAAGAGTAAACAAATTTTCTAGTAATCCATCTGAAAATTTAAACGATTCAAAAGTTTCATTAACTGAGTCTAGTAATTGTTTAATATCATCTTCATATCCAGAGATAAAAGGAAGCAAAGCCCGAATAAAATCTAATAAAAAAAGTGAAAGAGAGACATCATGTAATATTAACGGTTTTCATTTGTCTATCACAGAAGATTATTATCCAGGTACTTTAATAAAACGATTACATGAAAGTGAATTAAATGATACAAAGGATATTTTAAATTAATTTATTCTTTATTATTGAAATAAACATATGTTTTATTATTTTTTATTTTTTTCCAAATATTGAAAGTAAACATTTATATCAGTTAAAAAATTTTATTAAAAAATCAATTGTTAAATTAAAATGATCCACTTCTTTTCTAAATATTATTATGTTTAGAACAAAGTTATAATAGACAGTTTTGTGTTATAAAACATTTAATTTTTATAAAAGTTTTAAAACAATCTAAATACATCATTTCAAATATAATAAATAAGTTAATATAATTAAAAAGATAAATCATATTTAGCTATAAAAAATGTTATTACTAAATTGTTGCTCTTTTTTAAATTGTTTTTGAAATATTATTTTATACTTAGTGACTATCTATTTAAAATTAGTTCTATTAAAAATTTTAAAAAACATTACATTTTGCATTATTGTAAAAAGCTAATTTGATTGTGAGTGTTGATAAAAACATTTAAATAGTTTAAAATTTAAGAAAGGTGTTTTAAAAATTTTATAATAATAATTTATAAATTATTTAGCACTAATGAAGAATAGAAAGAAATCTTTTT